TGTGAAGCAGAGCGAAGCATTAAAGGCTGCTAAATTCAAATATGTATTTCACTGAGAGGTTCTCAACATCTCACGGCTCAAGTCGGGTTCCCGACCTATGAGCGAGCTCAACAGCTTGAGGACTATATACAGTCTGTATACACAGAGGGAACATATACAGTGTATATTATACACACGCCACGTGTCGCATGGTCATGATGCCTCTACTGAAATATCGCAGGAATATCTCAATTTCTGCCGGACACACCCATAACGGTTTCCGAGTACGGGATCGACTAGTCTTGATCAATACGACCTAACACAAGTGTACTACACTTAGTGTAGCGACATGATTTTCCCTCCGCAGACTCCTCACTAAGAGTTATCAACGACGGACTCTCGTGCAACCCAACATCTCTTTCTCTACTAGGACTCGTATCCATATCGGATTATAGCGACGAAATAGACAGAGAATTAACATCCAAACAATAACCCGTGAAGTACGTAAGATCCTCGAATTGTTTGGACCACCAAAATACGGACTTCGCGTTATAATCACAGATCAGACTCGAATATCGGACCGTCCAACATTCTGATATACGCGTCCGGTTCGGACGCGTAACCAACATGTCTTGTTAATAGTCCCCAATAAGTCTGATAATGAGCATACGAAAGAGAAAAGTGGACTGGATTAATGATGAGTCCTCGTCTGATAAGTGACAACTATAGCCGACTTGCCAAGCCTCGAGCGATCATCATCACAGCGAGGTGGCAAGGTGGTGTGCCCTACATCACCACGGTACGATCGATAGTCATCCGCCGCGTGTTGGAAATAAAGCAGAGAAAAGTTTGTCTCAGCCACTATCTCGTGTTGAAGACCACTGCAAACTATCGCTCGTGATCGACTCAAGCTGAATCAATCGAGTGATGGGAGAAGTGAGCCTCATGCTCGCAAGGTACAAGATAGCTAAAAGAAAGACCGCCAGGTCACGATGATGAGCCGCTGATTCATAACGAACCAAATGATACCTGGCAATTACTACAGCATCCTCAGCTGGTGGTATGGCAGAGACAATAGTGCTCACATTGGGCGAGCTAAGAAGTGGGAACGAGTAGAACCATCCCGTAAGTGATAATTATCACTAGTGACATTCACAATGGATTTTTTCATCTGTAAAGCATACCCCTTTCTCCTTGAGACACGCACGGTACGGGCATTTCTTGTTCCAGCATCCTGGAACACAGCCTTCACCCTTGAGCATAGCACCGATGACCAGAAGACCGACGCAGATAACTTTTAACATGGGGGTTCGAGAAGAACAAAGAGCTGAATCCAGGTACATTCCACTCGCTCACTCTACACAAGCGGAACTGAGGCTCACCTTACAACGTGCATGACCTATGTCCAGTATTTCACCATACTAAATTTCGCATTGACCATGGTCCTCAACTACTGCGTCTGTAGCGTCTTCTTGATCAAGCCGATCACCACTGGTGAACAACCCAACACTGGCGTCGCCGCTAGATGATGAGCTAGTCATCAGAAGATGTTTACAACACGCTATGGAGGTTCAAACATATCCTGATGTTACCGAAAGAAAAGACCCCAGAAGTCTCCCTCAATCCGGAGTCCTTCTGCTCCAACCATATCGATCAACTCGCGTACTTCACGTTAAACGCTATAAATGAACAAGATTCCGCACAACCTTGTGCGGTGTTAACCTGCCACAAACCGTACACGGATAGACCAACTATAAGAAAATGAAGAAGTCAAGACAGACACGATCACCGTTGGAGGCGGCTGCCTTGATCGTCGTAGTGGTACTTCCGTACGCGACACGTCTCTGATTCGCAAGCACGTACACAAAGCTTGAATGTGTGGCATCTGTAAAATGTGGCACAACTACTAGTTGTCAACTAGGACAACCACAAAGAAACGAAGCAGTTTGTGCAAGCATCACAAGGAAAACCATCACTAGCATACACTGTTGACACGAGATGGCGGCAGCAACGGAAATGTGGAGCTGGCGCATCGAAATCGCTAGCCAGCGCCATGTTGCACATTGTTGCCTCAACTTGAAAACTTACAATACTTTGGTGCACACGTGACACTCATGGTCAGCGGAAGGACAACAGTATGGTCAGCGGAAGGACAACAGTACTGTAGCCGCTACAGTCAACAGTGTTGATTGGAGTCCAATCAACGTTATCCTTTCGAACGAACCTATCGGAGCGACTCATCGAACTATGATAAACGATGGTCTGGATTACCTCTCCTCCGTGTTGGTTACCTTAACGTCCACAGCATCGCACGCAGCTTCGACATCGAACCTGACCATTTTCAATCCCATTCCGATTGAGACCTGCAGAAGCAGAATAAACATACTCTGTAGCACACGAACACCGCATCTTCAAGGGGGAACTAGGTAGAGCATAGATGTTACTCGAGAGCCGAGACAAAATCTCGGTGATCGAGACCAAGTAGGATCATCGCTAGCTCATTCAGTCGAACGTTGAAAAGTGTGATCATGATCAAGATTCATGATCTGCAGCTCGACTCTACTGGGATCGAAGCCGTCTTCATGTGACTCACTATGACGCAATACAATGATACGAAACTGCTAAGATTAAATCCGCTGTAAGCGATAAGACTATTTGGAGGAAACATTCATCACAAAGTTCCAACTGAGTTGATAGCGGAGGGTTGAGACTGAGACCGTAACAACACCAGTGGGGATGATATCTTGTAGCACTAGTAGCGGCTCACGTAAGCATCATTCCAGAACTCCGAACGTGTCCGCTGGAGTCGGCATATTATCGTATTCGTCGTCCCCTTCCAGGTTGATTATCTCGACCGTCCCCTCCCTACCCAAACAATAGATCATATCCCGCAGCTGAGAGCAATCCCTCACCATGAAGTGCTCTCAGCAAGAAGAGAGCTCACCCCTCGCGGAGGCACCTTGCATGTCCTCCCTGAGGCCGAGATTCGACCTGTGAAGATCAATGCCACGTATAAAGACCACCCTCGACTGTTACCAGCACCATCTTCTACACGCCCGAACTCCTTAGCGGCCGATACCATTTCTTTTAGAGCTGAAGTATTATGTCATTCGATCGATGCTGCTGCTGTTACTGACATACCCTCCGTCGCCCCCTGCAGAGTCTTCAACTCTCCCCTCAACGTTAGCTTCTCTTCGTTATCCTTTCGAACGAATTCGAGCTCTTCCACAGCTGCTTCCCGCTCCTATAGGTTAGTCTTCCCCCCGGCCTCATCAGGACCGCTTACCTTCTCCATCGCTATCGCCTTCTTCTTCCAGCTCTCTACTTCCGCCTAAAGAGAGCGTCGATCCCCGATGCCCGGCCACGAGGTAGTATCACTTTTAAAACCGCGATACGATCAAGGTCCGCTGACCGTGAGTCGACTGCAACTAACATGATAGGATAGTTAACCCGATCCTCCTCTATGAGACTCACCTCCCTCTTCAAACCGCCGAAGCTTCGCCATTACACCGTCTGGTAGATCCGGAAGTCTTCCCTGCTCAGCTGCTCCCGAGACCATGGTACTCGAAACAGGCAGCTCCTCGAGACGGTTGACCGGCTGCTTCGACACCCATGGCCCCCCTTGGAATTTTCGCTTCTGAAACACTTCACCTGACTCCTATCGTCTGCTACTCCTCTCACTCGACTTCCATCAGCAGTATTAAAGTCTTCCACCCATTCCGTCTCAGCTTGCTGCTTACAGATATTCCTCAGCGTACTGAGGACCCCTTCCTTTGAACAAGCCTTGTACCGCATACATCCTTGAGATGAACGATAGACCCTGCAGATGCTATAAGATAGGCCATCCCGAATGGCAACACTACCAACTCTTCAGAGTCTTGTGGTAGATGATGCCGAATAGCTTCCTCACTGCCCCACGAAATTCCCAATCCCTGGCGACGCCCTCAGGCTTAAAAATCTTCGGATTTCGACGCAAATGATCCTGATGACAATTTCTTAGGACTTCCCATCACCCTAGTCACCTGGATCATTTCATCCATAAGCTGCATCCGTTGAGCTTCCTTCAGCCTCAGACTCGACCGGCGAACCTTCACCGAAACTCGCAACAGCTATCCCACTGATATCGCTGGCCTGGCCTCACGCATATTTACACCTCGACGAACAATCCTTCAAAACACCGCGATAGTAACAACTCTACACAGTAGAAATGTCGTAGAAACACTATCGATTCTTGAACGCTGCAATGGCCTCATCCTCCTCCTTACTTTCCTTCTTGTGCTTCTTATTCTTCTTATGATGATGTCTTTTACTCTTCTTAGTGGCACGGCTTCTAAAAACAGCAATAAAACTGCCCACAGCAACGACAGGAGGCCACCTCCTACCCCTTGCTCGTCGCGTCAAATGCAGAATAGCTGCCGGCACCATCCTGCATCGCAAATGATGACAGACTGGCTGAAGACATTCCAGGGGGTAAAGAAGGCATAAGTCCAGTCGCCTGATGGCCAACTTGAGCAGCGGCAAAAGACAGAGAAATACATTCAACGTATTGATGATCTCATCTGTGGGCCGCCAGATGCTGCTAGGCTCATTCTCCTCCCTTTCCCGCATTTCCGAGGCTGCAACGTCGGCATCCTCTGTCCATTCCCAAATGCCCTCCTTTATGACGTTTCATGATTTTCTCCTCAGCTCTCGCGTTCCTATACGTTCGCCTTACACAGCTATCAAGCTATAGCATGCTCTCACTACCTCACTGCTTGGTCAGGGTTAGGAGGCTGTCTCCATTTTCGTTGCCGTATCCGAACCGTTGGAAGCGTCAGACCATCACGCAAGGCCAGTGTGAACTCCGGGTCCAACTATAGCGATGGGTAAGTACTCTAGACACTGTGAACGCTCACCTCAATTCCCTGCTCCCGTAACCGCTGTTTATACTCGGACCACGTCCCACGGAAGGCCACGAGCATTTGGCTAAAATCCGCCGTCTTAGTGAATACGAGATCGTTGGGCGACTTTAACGACTTGACAAATGTCGGAATGTCCAACAACACCCCCGACAAAGTTTCCTCGAACGCCTGACTCAATAGTACCCCTCAAATAGGGTGGCCGAGGGAAGGGAAAATAACCGTTCTTTCTTTCGGCCTATTTCTCATTCCTAAAAATAGGCAAAATAGATAAAATATGAAAAAAATGAGAAAATAGGCTTGGGGATCCTTGAAGACAGATAGCAATGCTATCATAGCATATGAGTAGCATACGACTAATATCTAGTGCCTCACGCGGTGAATACTTGTTATGAACTGTCGATTAACTTAGGCAGCCCAATAACATGAGCCTGTCACACAGAGGTAGCATACATGAGTTACATGAGACACCTGGCATTGCTCCAGACTGGAGCTTCCAGACTGGAACAACTGACCAGGGCATTGGGTGGTCGATCTAGTGGTGAATGATCAGTTAAACTCGACTTCGGAACCTTTCGGAGCAATTGAATAAAGCTCTCCCTCAATCTGAGAGAGAGTACGCAGCGCGTATCGGGCATTTCTCACAGCCCGATCCGATGATGCTGCGTTTCGTTATGAGATTCTCATCTGCATGGCGTCTGAGTTTTCCAGTTAGCTGGAAAGGGAGAAGCACACTACGAGATGCGGATTTTACCAAGCATGACTTCGAAGTTTTTCGGGCAAGGTATTGTGCGCTTCCAAAGGCTAGCAAGACTGTATCGTGATTCAACCAACCTATCGAGATAGGCTGATTCAATTCGCTCAATATCCTGGTAACCAGAACCTGGTGTCTGAGATGTATGCTTCCCGGGTGCACGAGCTCCGCTCGCGACGGCTTCATTAATTGCATCGAGCATGGAGGTGGTCGTCGTTGTGTCGCTGCCAACTGTAGCAAGAGTGCAGTTGGTAAGACAGATTTCTGCGAGAGCCAGGGAGCCGACCGTCGCTGTTTACACCCCGATTGTGCGGCTCCAGCTAGATCCGGAGGAGAGGTACAAATGTGCCAAAGGCACGGAGGTGGGAAGAGATGCAAGGAGATGGGATGTGAGAGGGTGGTGGCTGCGCGAAGTGACCACTGTAAGCAGCATCGGGAGCTCTACGGTCTGCCGATTCGCACGGGAGTTGCGAGCCTGGTCTCGTCGATGAAAGATGGGCAGAAACAACATGGTCGGCTCTCAACGCTCCAAGTCATGAAGAACCTGAAGAATCGGTGCAGGACGAAGATACGGTGATACTGTACATACCGTGGGATTAGCTATGCAGTTGTGGCTATTGCTAGCAATTCGCTTAATGGCGCCTGTAGTATTATAGAACGATGTATTGAGTGATACTATCGGAGAAACGATTCCTGTTGCGTTGCGAGCAGTTGAACATAGTATGTTCTGTTGTAAAATTTTCGTAGGATATACTGGCAACATCGAGCCGCGGCTCGTCCCTCTGTACTCCACAGGAAGCCCAGCCCCAGAGGATCTTGACGAACATGAACAAAATACTTTGTAAGACCACATGTCAATTGAGGACCAAACGCAACCCGCAGCACATGATAGTCTGAAGATTTGCATGATAACTCGAAAGCGGATTGAGACCGACATGATCCCATGTAACTTCGAGGGATGAGAGCCCAGCATGGCGGCAGGAGCCCTCATCATAGCTAGTCCTCATCCGAAGAGTTTTCAAAAACTTCGATCTTTCTCCATCGTCCAGCTGGAGTGGCACTGTTCTTGATTGCCTAACAATTGCGCACGTTCCTCGATAGAGCGTTGAGCGGCTCGATTCAAGCCTATCTCCGCTGGATGACCCCAAATTGGTTGTCCGGGCGGCCATCCGGTAATGGGTCAGACTCATTTGATCCACGCGAAACGGTATGTAGTCCGCAACGCAAGAAACGGCACCTTTCCTTCTTTCTCGTCTTCAGTATCCGAATCCTCGTCGATTATAGAAATATGCCTGAATTCGCTTGACTTTTTCTCGACCTGGTGATTATGTGGCCTGAGGAGGAACAACACTAGTCGTCTGAGATCCAAATGATTTGGCCGCCAAATCATCAATTTTCGCAGAGACCTAACATTGACTGTGCATTGGAAATTCGGATTCGGAGTATCACCATCAGAACAATACAATGTCGGCCGGAGAAACCCGTTCCTTACACAACTGGTGATTCGTCGAAAATCTCCTGTATTTTTGGCTCCTCGATCTCTTCTTTGACTTGCGCGCGTTGCTTGTAAATTAGCTTTCGTCTGGCAGTAGCAAGGTCAGCATTGATTCTGCCAATCATTCCCTGCTCTGCGCCAC